ATATCCTTAAAGGGACCTTCCGGCAGACAACACCATATATACAAATGTGTATTAAGATTACGCACTCAACAGATGCGTAATCCTAACATATTCACGATACATCACCTGGATAACCATTGAGTATACACAGCACATACCTGAGATCTTTTGATGGATCTTCACGATTAGCATTTTTATGAACTTTCCCACAATTATATAACAGTTGTGTTCAAAATAATAGCAGTGTGTTGAAAAAAAGTGAATAAAGCTCAAAATCCTTCTAATTTCCATACACACAAATGCATTGGGAACACTACACATTCTATTCCAAATCAAAACATGAAGAAAAATATATCAAATTTGTGTTGTTCCTCTAAAAAAAATTGAAGAAAAGTGAATAGACTGTTCAAAAAAATAGCAGTGTTTGTATTCTTCTTTACAAACTCAAACATTCGCTATATAAACTGAAAAATGTTTGAAGATTTTGCTTTCCTTTGAATCACTTAATATTTAGTTGTATAACCACCGTTTCTGAGAACTGCTGTACATCTGTGTTGCATGGAGTTGACCAACTTCTGGCACCTGTGAACAGGTATTCCAGCCCAGGATGGTTGGACTACATGCCACAGTTCTCTATTTCTTGGTGTTGCCTCAGAAACTGCATTTTTGATGTCACCCCACAAGTTTTCTATTGGATTAAGATCCGGGGATTGGGCTGGCCACTCCATAACGTCAATCTTGTTGGTCTGGAAGATGTTGCACGTTTACTGGTGTGTTTGGGGTCGTTGTCTTGTTGGAACACCCATTTCAAGGGCATTTCCTATTCAGCATAAGGCAGCATGACCTCTTCAAGTATTCTGATGTATTCAAACTGATCCATGATCCCTGGTATACGATAAATAGGCCCAACACCGTAGTATGAGAAACATCCCCATATCATGATGCTTGCGCAACCATGCTTCACTGTCTTCACAGTGTACTGTGGCTTGAATTCAGTGTTTGGGGGTCATCTGACAAACTGTCTCCGGCCACTAGACCCAAAAAGAACAATCTTACTTTCATCAGTCCACAAAATGTTGCGCCATTTCTCTTTAGGCCAGTCAATGTGCTCTTTGGCAAGTTGTAACCTCTTCAGCATGTCTTTTTTTCAACAGTGGGACTTTGCGGGGGCTTCTTGCAGACAGCTTGGCTTCACATAGGCGTCTTCTAAGTGTAACAGTACTCACAGGTAACTTTACACCTTCTTTGATCTTCCTGGAGCTGATTGTTGGCTGAGGCCTTGCCATTTTGGCTATTCTTCTATCCATTCGAATGGGAGTTTTTCACTTTCTTCCACGTCTTTCAGGTTTTGGTTGCCATTTTAAAGCATTTGCAATCATTTTAGCTAAGCAGCCTATCATTTTCTGCACTTTATATGTTTTCCCCTCTCCAATCAAATTTTTAATCAAGGTACGCTGTTCTTCTGAACAATGTCTGGAACGACCCATTTTCCTCAGAATTTCAGAGAGAAATGCACTGTAACCAGCATGTACAACATTTGCTGCCTTCCTTCCTTAAATAAGGGCAATAATTGCCACCTGTTTTTCAAAAAGTGAATGACCTCACTAACAGAACTCCACACTGCTATTATTTTGAACCTTCCCCTTTTAATTAGTGATTCAATTACACAGAATCAGCAGCATGCATGTCATGACTGTTGGGTCTGTTGGATTTCTATTACTCTACTACACCTGCTAGTAAATTATTTGCCATGTAGAAATATCATTTCTACCAAAAACAGTGATTGATCAGGTTAGTGATGTCTGACTGCTATTATTTTGAACACAACTGTATCTTATTATACATCTTGATAGACATTCAGCACCATCAAGTGCTCACCATTGTCACTCCTTCAGCACTTTGGTGTATATTTTTATTTATTTACACCATATTTGCACTCTGTCACTTTATATATCACTTATATATATATCTCTGTATAAATGCACAACTCACGTATAAGATCGCATTTTATTAATTTATTATTGGTTTTAGCGCTGCACCTTTTCTGATTTGGATTGAGTATAAGCTTTGAAATCGTTCCTTCCTTGGTAAATAGGCAGTGGCCCTTTGAGACAGGCATGTGTCAGTAATGACATCATCAGGATCCTGCTCAACTAGTGCTTGCTGAGCCTGGTGCTGCTGATCAGTGTCAGTGTGGTGTGTGTGTGTTCGTGACACTGATTAACAGAGCCTGGGAGGAAGGCAGGCAGACTGACTTTACAAGAGGACATACAGTACACCTCAGTCCTGCACTGACAGCTGAATTAAAGTGCCTGCCTGTGTATTGGCTGATACAGGGTGTGATCACAAAGTTTGATTACACTGGACAGTGACCCCTGACAGCAACACCATTATTGTCTTGTTTGTTTCTCTGTCTGATCGGTTAATACAGTTAATTTATATTTGGTTAATATATATTTTGTCTTTAATATTGGTGCTGGTGGCATCTTATGGCACTTATATTTGAAGATTAAAAGAAATTTAGCAGTTTTGTAGTTTTTTTTCTACAACTTTTAAAAATTTTGAATGCCAAAGATGCATTGTTTACTCCCAATGAAGCAGGACAATTTCTTTCAATGGCCACAGTGTGGCCCTCCTAAAGTCTAAAAGCGAGTAAACTGGCCATTTTTTTAGAAAGTTTGGAGACCCCTGCTCTAGGTCATGCAGGTGCACTATGGCATCAGAGAGTTCATGCATAGGGAGTAGCGCTAGTACAGTGGTGTACAGACTGCAAAATGTTTAGATTTAGACCTCCGCTCCTGGCTGGAAGTATTGCGCACACCCATGGGTTTGGGAGTTTGTAGCATCCTGGATATGAATGTTTAAAGAGCTTCCATCAGTACTTACTGCTGAAGTCTTAAGGCAGCCAGGATTTAAAGAGGGTCCGACAACAACCTGGCTTCACCCTCCACGACAGTCATTCCGCCACAGGAGTCTAGAGATTCAGGGCTCTGCCACTAGCATACTATGGCCTGTGGCCACACATTGCACTATATGCCAAGTTCAGTACCTATAGCAAGATCCAGTGCACCCAGCAACATTACAGGCCGGCCCCACTGAGGCTCTGGCAAAAAAGTGGGGCTAGCTGGGAGTGGGAGGGGCTGGGTAGATAGCTACATATAACCCATGATAATGACTAAAGATCTTGTGTCCCAAACTGTACGACTAAGACTTCAAAACAAACCCCTCTAAAAAGATACTTCTATATGAAGAGATGCAGACACATGGGGGTTTATTTACAAAAGCTGGAGAGTCCAAAATCAGACTGACTTCTGCATAGAAACCAATCAGCTTCCACGTTTCATTGCCAAAGCTTCATTGAACAAGCTGAGGTTAGAAGCTGATTGGTTTCTATGCAGAAGGGAGTCTGATTTTGGACTCTCCAGCTTTAGTAAATAAACCCCATGAAGTCTAACCATCCAGAAGCATTTCTTACTCTATATGTAGCTATATATGGACAACAAGTGCCACAGGGAACACAAGTTACATGAGCTAGGTGTTTGAAGGAACCACCAGGAGCTGCTTTATACTAAAAGATAACCTACATTGTGAATCAAACAACTATGAAAGTTTGATACATTTCAGGTTGCTGCGACAATAACGCAAGTACAATGCAAATCAATTTTCTGCAATAAACTTATACCAAAAAGCATTAATACAGCATAGCTTTTCTGTTACAAGCAACATTTGTTTCCTAAACATAGTATTGATAGTGTCAAACAAAATGTGCCACAGATGTCATTCCCTCGTTTCGTTTTTACTTATCTGTTTGGTGAACACTGTTATAGCAGATTGCTAGGAACCATATCTTTCCCAAACATGAATATAGAAAACCTTTTAAAGAAACAATAATCTTGAGATAATGGGAAAGTGAACACTTTGTAGCCAATTTTAGTGATGGAACACAAGGACAAATTGAAGTATCATATAAAAAGCAGATGAAAATCAATTTGATTGAATAAAAAAGTGTATTGAAATCCAATACCAAATAATAATCATGATGTTATAAAAAAAAGTCACAATAAAAAGATACATTCTAAACACTACAGAGAAAGCAATAAAAAAAAAACAAAAATAGAATGAATTTTCTGTACAGAAAGGACTGGGTGTGTTGGTGGATAGGACAAATATACAGGAGGATGCAGAGGATGATGAATCCATTTACAATAACAAGAAAGTCACAAGATGAAAAATGGACTAACGTGAAAGTGCTGAAGAACAGATTGGTTTAAAGAAGGCCAGCACATATCAGCCTCTTCATGAAGCCACCAATACCATCTACAACACTAGGCTTCTCCATGGCAGCAAACAAGGAAACCGTTGTGTCTGGTCAGCTCACGCAGCCTCATTACATGTACTGTACAGGTCCAGGACCTCCCATCTGGCTGCAGTGGCCCAGTACAATTCCCTCTTAGGCCAGGATCATAAGAAATGGACGGAGATGTGGAGGGAACATCTAGCCAAAATTCTGGAGTGGTGGTGTGTATAGGGGAAGGGGGAGTAACACTGTTTTAAGTCTCACAGAGGCTGGAGGGGGAGTTGCTGCCAACAGATGTGATTCGCAGCCTGAAAACACTGCACAAAAAGCAACTGTTGCTGTGAAAGGAATTCTTCCCATTGTATGTCTTTTTGCTGTCCGGCTGGCCACATGGTGGGGCATAACACTGAGCCACAGCAACAGGGTGAAGGCCCATTAGAGGTGAAAAGAACTAAAACAATGGAAATACACAATATTCCTCCATAGTTTACATAAAATTCCTCTTCTGATATAAACCCCCCATAAAATCTTAGAAATCAGAGGAAATGATAAGGTACAGAATGCCAGGCTTCAGCCCTTGGTGGTTGCCTCAGAGTACAAAGTCTGGGCTCCCAGCTTGTTTCTTGGCAGTACACGCAACGTGACACAGAGACCCTTTCTGGTGGGCTGCACTGCCTCTGTCCATACACTATCAGATTTGCCTCTGGGGTGGGGTTGTGTTCTTTCATGCTGTGGTTATGGCATTCAGATCCTTCATCAGGCCTTCAAGGTGAGCCATCTCCTTGCTCAGTTCATCTGGTTCGTAACTCTACAGAAAAAAAACACCACAACAAATTGGCTTACTCAATAGACAGAACAGCAACCTTGCAACAATCATTTACTATTTCCTCTATGATAAATGTAAATATGACTAGAAAGTAAGGGTGGTAATAAAATAATGGCTAGAGAGTGACATGTAAATTAATAAGTCCACATACAGTATGTTAAAGTGTTACTAAAGCCAGGATCCTGAATTCACTATATCTGGTCTCCCACAGTACACAACATAGAAATGCATTTATTTTAGTAAATACCAACTGCAAAACACCTTTTCTCATTATCAGTTACAACAGCCTTGTGACTTCTATCAGTGTCCAGCAGAGAACTGGTTAAAGCTTGTAGGAGGAGTTTTCATTTTCTCACTGTCCTATGAGTCTGCTGATTGGCCCTGTGCTGATATCATGCACTCTCCCAAGAAAAGAGGGGGGGGGGGGCGACTCTCTAGCAATACACACCAAACTGTGCAGCTAGCCCCCAAGGCTCTGTTCTATCAGAAAACGAGTCTGGGACAGTGGAAGAAGGGAAGGATCAGAGAAGACAGGATTAAAAATTATTTTTTTACACAATGCAGAGGATTAACCCCTTAAGTTCCACAGCAAATATAACAAGCATGCTTTACAGCATATACAGACTGATTTGACTGTTGTGGGTTTAGTAACACTAACTGCAAAGTACACAAAATATAATTTATTTATATAGCGCCAATAAAAGATAATTAAAAAAAAAAAAAAAATATATATATATATATATATATATATATATATATATATATATATATATATATATATATATATATATATATATATATATATACACACATATACATACATATATACATACATACACATATACAATTATACTAGTGGCAGAACTTTGTACTAAACTGACAGACTGACAGCCACCACTGCTTGGAACATCAGAAGCTATTCGCATAGATGCAATCTGTACAGTATGTTAAGCCATTATTAAAGTGTAAAATAGGGGTACAAGGCATTTTTGCTATGTATTGCTATAAACTAGTGACCAGAGTAAAAAATATTTTCTAAAACCTAACCTATTCTAAAAAATAACTTCTCCTAATGAAATAGGTTAAGTTTGAATAATCAAGAAACATCCACAGTTTGCACAAACACACTTCACGATTGACTAAACAAAAAATGTGTACGGGTTGTTCTTTTGGGGTGGTGAAATTGTGCTGACTGCTATCCAATCATGAACGCTAATTCATCTCATTCACTAAGCAAAGTGAAAATTCACTTTACAGCAAGAACATGCCATACTCCCTTAGTAAAATCAACCTTTATATTTTTTTTTCTATTATGTAATGCTAAATTTTAATGTTCTTTTCTGCAGGGCTAAGTAACTACTTTCACTTTAATCCCTACTTCCCACCAGCACTTACTCACAATAATTCCTTTGCTACCTCTCTGCTCCATTCAGCTGGGAGGAGCAGCAGAAATTCCCCCATGTATGCTACAAGTCATATTCTAGACAGGTTTTTGGACGCTTCCCATGTGACAGCAATGCTGATTGGCCGAGTACTATGACATGGAGAGTATCGCATGCTCAGCCAAATCTGAAAACAAGTATTTTCTTTGCTGCCGGCAACAAATAGAGCAGCTGGTGAACAAACCAAAGATTTGTGTGCTGTGGTATAGATAATGGTGTGGATTAATGCAAACATGATTTGTCCTACATGGCGATTTCTTGATTTGATTTTCTCACCACCCATCTATGGTTATTAAACTTTATTAAATTCATGTAAATTACAAAACAGATACTTACACTCTCTGAGCCATCTAGCATTCTGCTCGTCTCTAGTGGTTCAGGGGCACTGGGCATAGTTACTGGAAGCGGTGGACGCACTCTCCCCAGGGTCCCTAGAGAAGCCGTTTTCACAGAGAGCGCTGATGGACCTATATAAAATAACGAAAAAAAAAATATATATATAATAAGTATTTTATGCTCACTGTAATATCCTTTCATTTGAAGTCCATTGGAGGGCACAGAAAGTTTTTAATCTTTGGGTTATACTGATGCCTGCATAAGGACTGGACACAGGCAAATAAAACTGTAAGCCTGCCCAGGATAACTACCAGCATGTCTCAGTTTTGTAGCAAAGCTGTACAGAGAGATTGAATAAACACAGGGACAGGACATGTGCCCCTCAATGGACTCCAAGAAAAGGAGATTACCATGAGTTCAAAAATCCTATTTTTTTTCCTCGTCTATTGAGAAACAACAGAAGTCTAGTCTTTAGGATTTCCAAAAGCAGTCCAACTGAGTAAATAACGATCAACAGGCCCAAAAAACATAGAACTGGGGACTGCCTGCAGCTCAAAGAGCTGACGGAAACTGCTCCTGATGCAGACATCAAATGAGGCCACAACATCCACAAGAGTGAACCAAGAGAATGTGTGAAATGGAGACCATGTGGCCACCTTGCAAATCTGGGAAACATTTGTTTGACACTGAACAAGCCCAAGAAGCACAGATCTAGTAAAGTGCACCTTGACAGGAAAGGTAGGAACCAGATCATTGAGACCATTAATTGGAATGACAGCCTGTTAGATCCAACCTAGAAACTGTGGAACGAGAAGCTGGTGCACCCTTACCTAGGGATGCCAAAAAAGAAAAGTGGTCTTTCTGGAAGAAGCAATGGCTGAGAAAAGAACTCACAGCTCGAAAAATATCCAAAGGGAAATATTAACTTTTGGTGAACTGGAGCCAGACAGAGATGAAAGAATGATGTTCTGGTTGAGGTAAACGGTAGAAACTAGGTCTCAGCACTATACTGCCCCTGTACAAAACCAGAAAAGGTTTCATAACAAGAGCTGAAAGTTCAGACTATAACCTAAGAGATGATGGCTACAAGAAATACTTCTTCGTGGGTGAGAACAAAAAGAAATGTCTCTAATGGGTTCAAATGTCAGTTTATGAAACACAGAGAACCTGATTCAGATCCTATGAAGCCACAGGGGAACCAACAGGAAATGGAGCTACATGGGAGACTCCCTGAACAAAGGTCCTAATTAGGGAGTGAGAAGATAATGCCAAAAGCTGGTTCAGTCAACTGGGGGAAGAATCTGACTCATGGAGAAATACTTAGGGTGAAGTCCTGAGACTCACACCAAGCGAGTATGCCTTCCATGTCTGATTATTAACCTTGAAGGAAACAGATTTCTTAGCTTTTAACATCATAGGAAATCAACGATTAAGAGATGCCCAGTTTGCCAGGACCTGGAATTCAACAGCCATACTGTTAAAGCCAGCAACTGTAAAGCAGGATGGTACAACTGTCCTAGAGACAGAAGATCCTGATTATCAGGTAGCGCCCAAGGAGCACTCACCAGAAATCTTACCATGTCCATGTACCTCACTGCCTGAGCTAATCTGGAGCAATGAGGATCACCAGAATGCCCTCCATCTCGATCCTGTGAAGATGTTTTAAGGGAGGAAAAACATAGGTCAGGGTGTACTGATCCCATGAAGTTATTTAAAGCATTCACCATGTCCACCAGATAAACCCCCATATCTGGAGATTGTTGTTGAACCTGGAGACCAGGAGGTGCACAACTGGCACCCACCACCTGTTAAACAGGGATGCTTTCAAACAGATGGAAGGCAAGAATTTTCAGGTTACCAGTTTAGCATTACAGAGGAGGTCTAGCACTACAATTACTGCTCTTGCTATAACGTTCGTGTCAATACCTCATGTGTGTGGTTTGCATGGCCTTTACATATGCAGACATGACCTACGTATGCATTTGCTTCTGTGAGCGAACACAGGGGGACAAGGGCGCTTTCATTTTTTTATACACGGTTTAATTTTTTTAAATTACTTTTATTCCTATTACAAGAAATGCAAACATCCCTCGTAAAAGGCATGATAGGTCCTCTTTATGGAGAGATGTGGGATCTTTACATTTGCCAGAGCCGGAAGTGATATCACTTCCAGACTCCCAGGATCATAGAGATGGCCGTGGACCTCTATGGTATCCTGCCGAAGCCATATCGGATCTCCGGCTCCCTGACCGCATGGGAGAGCCTGGAGAGGCCCTATTGGGTGGCAAAAGAAGCCACTAGGATGGCTTATGCAAGAGAGGGAATCGCCAGCTAAAAACAAAGATATCTGGATGATGCCTGTAGCTGCAGGATGCAGATAGGATCACTTTATACAGAAAGTCACAGCCAACAGAAAAGATCATTAGGCTCAGTAAAGAGCCAGATCTCCTTCAGAGTGCCAGGCTCTGCCAAACATGTTTAGTCAATGGTGACTTCTTCAGGGACACCATAAAGGCCAAATGTAAGACATCCCCTCCACTCTTAGGAGTGATGGTGCCTCTTGCGAAGAGGATGTTGTGTTCTGTCTTGTGCTGAAATTAGGACTGAGTTTTGGCTTTGAATATAAAAATCTGAGAAAAGTGATGTGGCAGTCTTCCTTTTGAGGAGGTAGAGGCCCCCAAATGAAAGGAGTTCAGGAAGTTCAGTTGTGGAAGAACTACTTTACTTCCTGTGACATTGCAGTTTGCAAGCTGTCCAGGCTTTTAGCCATAAGATTCTGTGCATATGGATAAAAATGAGACCTAATCTGGAGATCTGTGCCATGACTGGTTCTAGGGCATTAACACAAGAGAGTCAGGCAGAGGGTAGCATCTGCAAGTGCTCTCCCAAGGTTCGGTCCTGGAGATAGGACCCTGCAGCCTGTTCATTTACCTAGTCAAATTAGATGTGGACTGGCAAACAGAATTTGCAATAGCCAGTTAAGGAGCTGGGCCTGCAAGGGCAACCCCTTCCCACCGCCATTTTCTGGCCCTGTAAGAGGTTCTAAATGCTGGGAGGCGGGTGTCCTGATCATGTGACCGCTGTGATTGGCATGCGGTCTCCTGGTGTTAAAGCCCACCCACCGAGGCACTGCATATGTGTCTGTACGGCCGGCGGAAACAGGTTAAAGAAAGTCTTAAAGTGTCTCAAACACTGTCAGTATAATCTTTAAATGGAGGAACATCTTCTAAAGACACAGTAAGAGGTTTAAGACTGAGATGACAGTCTACTACTGAAAGAGACCTTTTTTTTGTGAACTCTTTCTCCATTGAATAGTGGATAATTCTCTTGAGGGATGAAAATCATAATACAGTGTCCATTCTATTTGCTCTGTTTTTTTTTTTTAAGACTTAGGTCTTCTAGTACCTAAAGGGGCATGATGAGATCAAGGAGAATAGTGTATGGCAATGTTGAGGCTTTTGCACAGCAGAAGTGAGCATACAGTCAGGTCCATAAATATTGGGACATCGACACAATTCTAACATTTTTGGCTCTATACACCACCACAATGGATTTGAAATGAAAAGAACAAGATGTGCTTTAACTGCAGACTGTCAGCTTTAATTTGAGGGTATTTACATAAAAAATAAGGTGAACGGTGTAGGAATTACAACAGTTTGCATATGTGTCTCCCACTTGTTAAGGGACCAAAAGTAATGTGACAATTGGCTTCTCAGCTGTTCCATGGCTAGGTGTGTGTTATTCCCTCATTATCACAATTACAATGAGCAGATAAAAGGTCCAGAGTTCATTTCAAGTGTGCTATTTGCATTTGGAATCTGTTGCTGTCAACTCTCAAGATGAGATCTAAAGAGCTGTCACTATCAGTGAAGCAAGCCATCATTAGGCTGAAAAAAACCCCAAACAAACCCATCAGAGATTGCAAAAACATTAGGCGTGGCCAAAACAACTGTTTGGAACATTCTTAAAAAGAAGGAACGCACCGGTGAGCTCAGCAACACCAAAAGACCCAGAAGACCACGGAAAACAACTGTGGCGGATGACCGAAGAATTCTTTCCCTGGTGAAGAAAATACCCTTCACAACAGTTGGCCAGATCAAGAACACTCTGCAGGAGGTAGGTGTATGTGTGTCAAAGTCAACAATCAAGAGAAGACTTCACCAGAGTGAATACAGAGGGTTCACTACAAGATGTAAACCATTGGTGAGCCTCAAAAACAGGAAGGCCAGATTAGAGTTTGCCAAACGACATCTAAAAAAGCCTTCACAGTTCTGGAACATCCTGTGGACAGATGAGACCAAGATCAACTTGTACCAGAGTGATGGGAAGAGAAGAGTATGGAGAAGGAAAGGAACTGCTCATGATCCTAAGCATACCACCTCATCAGTGAAGCATGGTGGTGGTAGTGTCATGGCGTGGGCATGTATGGCTGCCAATGGAACTGGTTCTCTTGTATTTATTGATGATGTGACTGCTGACAAAAGCAGCAGGATGAATTCTGAAGTTTTTCGGGCAATATTATCTGCTCATATTCAGCCAAATGCTTCACAACTCATTGGACGCCGCTTCACAGTGCAGATGGACAATGACCCAAAGCATACTGCAAAAGCAACCAAAGAGTTTAAGGGAAAGAAGTGGAATGTTATGCAATGGCCAAGTCAATCACCTGACCTGAATCCAATTGAGCATGCATTTCACTTGCTGAAGACAAAACTGAAGGGAAAATGCCCCAAGAACAAGCAGGAACTGAAGACAGTTGCAGTAGAGGCCTGGCAGAGCATCACCAGGGATGAAACCCAGCATCTGGTGATGTCTATGCGTTCCAGACTTCAGGGTGTAATTGACTGAAAAGGATTTGCAACCAAGTATTAAAAAGTGAAAGTTTGATTTATGATTATTATCCTGTCCCATTACTGTTGGTCCCTTAACAAGTGCGAGGCACATATGCAAACTGTTGTAATTCTTACACCGTTCACCTGATTTGGATGTAAATACCCTCAAATTAAAGCTGACAGTCTGCAGTTAAAGCACATCTTGTTCGATTCATTTCAAATCCATTGTGGTGGTGTATAGAGCCAAAAATGTTAGAATTGTGTTGATGTCCCAATATTTATGGACCTGACTGTATCTACACCGACAAGCATATTGCATGAAGCCATAACATCAGATGTATGGCAGGCTGGGGGTGAGAGATGTTCTGTGCCCTCCACTAAGGCTGCCTCTTTGTCCTTTTCATTCCCCTCAATCTCTGCATTCTCTAGGAGGAGGCATTTCACTTTCCAAATCCAGCAGAGACAGTGGGGATGGAGAAGCTTGGCACAATTGTGCTTTGGACAGTTATAACTGTAATAAAACCATTAATTGTCCAAGAAAGTCTGACATTTCAGAAAAATCTGCCTTGGTCAGATAAGCAACTTGTTGTGTGCCTGAGATAGAGGTAGAATTGAATGCAGAGACTGGTGTTAAAACAAAGTCCTGCTTCAGCACATAGGAAGCATCATCACTGAGTGTACAGATGTTTTGCATGCCTTTGGCAGAGTGAATGTTGTGCTTTTGCTGTGGTTACCTTGTTCCTGGTTTCCACCATTTCTTTTGGTGAGGGTATGGGGTATTTAGAGTA